TATTTGTCTTTTTGTGACTGAGATATTTCACTCAGCATAATGTCCTCCAGGGTCACCCATTTTGAATAATATTGCATGTGTTCCTTGTTTTTCAATGCAGCGTGGTACATTTTAACATCATTGTTTCATAAGCTTCTCTTAATGCTCCTATGAAAGATTTAAGTCGTTTGTTAGGTATTCCAGCTTTTCAGAATCAGTTCTCTGATATGATATATTGCCATTGTTAGGTGCCACCAAGTTGACTACAACTCTCAGCAACAATTTATTTATTTCTTTTTCTTTTCTTGTTGTGCACTGTCGAATCAGATCCAACTGGCACAGGAGAAGATTGCCCCTCCTTCTCCAGTAGACCATCTGGTGTATTTGAACCACATGCCTTCGGGATTGCAGTGCAGCTTCCTTGCCACTAGGCCACCAGAACTCCCTCTCAGCAACGATATAAAAAATAGACCTTGCCCTATCCTGTGCCATCCTCACAATCACTGATATGCTCAGGCCCATTGCAACAGTCACTGTCACAATCCATCTCATTGAGAATCTTCCTCTCTTTCTCTGACCCTTCACCTTTCCAAGCATGATGTCTTTTTCTCAGGGCTGGTGCCTCCTCAGCCAAAGTATGTGAGAAGAAGTTTCACTATCCTTGCCTCTAAGTAGCATTCTGGTTGCACCACCTCCAAGACAGATTGGTTTCTCCTAGATTTGCAACCCAGACCAGTTTAAAACCAAAACCCCAAACTTATTGTTGTTGAATTGGTTACAAGACCGAGACTCCCATATGTAACAAAGTCAAAATGCCTCACAGGGTTTTCTTGGGTCAGTGAATTAAAGGAAGACCCTCAATAAGATGGGTTTGCCCAATGGCTGCAACAATGGGCTCAAACATAGCAATGAGGGCTCAGGTCTGGCAATGTTCTTCCTGTTGTCCATCGGGTCACTAAAAGCCAGAATATACTAATGAACACCCAACAGCAACAACTGTCTTTAAGGAGGCAGCTGATCATACACGCCCTTCGCCACTCAAGGCTATTGTTACAACAAAGTCATGGTAAAAGACAGAAGAGCAGATACATGCCATGCTATACCACCTACTCTGTTAACTAAAGAGGTTCCAAATCTTTTTAGCTTGATTAGTGGTACAATGGACTTTTATGAACATAATTTATTAAAATGCCAAGGTCTTTTTCTTACTTTGCTTATTTATAAACACAAAGCAAAATGAAACTAAACAGTTGCCATTAAGTTGACCCTGAGCCCTGGTGACAGAATGGGTGTCACAGTAACACTATGATCTTCAGGGTTTTCAAGGGCTGAGTTTACAAAAGTAAATTGCCAGGCACTTCCTTTGAGGTATCTTTTCAAGGATTTGAACTATCAACCTATCTGTTGGTAACTTAACCATTCAATTACCCAGCTACTCTCTTCATTTATAGATAAAGAAAATATGTCTTAGTTTGAACAGAAGTCTTCTGATGTCTGGTTCATAGCAGAGCTCTCTTTCCTATATTCTATTATGTATAGAAGAATGTTGAGTGTACTGTTGTTGAGGACCGTTGAGTGGGAACTGAACCATAGCTGACTTTCCTGTGGGTTTTCAGAGGCAGTTAATTACACAGAAAAAGATAGCTCTTCTCCCACAGAGCAGCAGGTGGATTCAAACTGGATATCTTTGGGATTGCACTGCAGCTTCTTATCACTAGACCACCAGAGTTCTCTTTGTGTAGAAGAATATACATCCTATGCTTTCCTTTCTAAAAGCAGCTCTGGTGGGATAGTGCATAACATGTTGAACTGCTAATAAAAAGGCCAGTGGTTCGATACCACCACCTGCTACACTAAGAAGGAAGTCTCCTTCTATAAAGGTTTTGTTGTTGTTGTTGTTGTTGTTATGTGCCGTCAAGTCACTTGCGACTCATAGCGACCCTATGTACAACAGCCCTAAACTCCGCTCTGTCCTGTGCCAATCGCACTGTCTCTGACACTCCCATCCCGATTATCCCAGTCACTGAATCAATCCACCTCATAGAGGGCCTTCCCCTCCTGTGCTGTCCCTCCACCCTCCCAAGAATGATGTCCCTCTCTAAGGACCGGTCTCTCCTCACAACATGTCCAAAGTATGTTAGACGGAGCCTCAGAATCCTTGCCTCCAAGAAGCCACCTGGTTTAACCCTTTCCAGGACAAATCTGTTTGTTTTCCTAGCAGTTCATGGTATTCTCAATACTCTTCTCCAGCACCACAGCTCAAAGGCATCAATTCTCCTTCTATCCTCCTTGGTCATTGTCCAACTCTCTGATGCATAACAGGTGATTGTGAAGACCATGGCTTGTATCAGACGCACCTTAGTCTCCAAAGAGACACCATTGCTCTTCAGCACTTTGGAGAGGTCCCTAACAGCAGACTTTCCAATCTTGAAAACCCAGTGGAAGGTCACTGTGAGCTGAAACTGACTCAATGACAGGTTTGGTTTTGTTTGTTTAGGTTTTTTTTTTTTTTTTACTCTTCTATCTATACGCTGCTTTCTATTAAGAGAGTTCTCACAATGATGTCAGTCTAGAGACTAAGGTGTATCTAAATCAGGCCATTGTCTTCAGAGAGTTGAACAATGACTAAGACTGACAGAAGAATTGATGCCTTTGAGTTCTGGTGCTGGAGAAGAGTCTTGAACATACCACGCACAGCTAACAAATAGGTCTGTTTTGGAGAGGACGAAACCAAGTTTCTCTATGGAGGCTAGAATTTTGAAGCTTCGTCTGTCATATTTTGGGCACATGGCCAAGAGAGAGACTGTTCCTTGGAGAAGGACATCATGCTTGGAAGGGTGGAGGGACAGCACAGGAGAGGAAGACCCCGGCTGGGATGGATTGATACAGTGACTGGGGCATTGAGGGTTGGTGTGTCAGAATTGGTGAGACTGGCTTAGGACAGAGCAGGCTTCAGAGCTTTGGGTCACAGGCAACTCAAAAGCACATAACAGCAAAACAACAACTAAGTAGGCTATAGAAGGCTACTATGAAGTAACTGGAATTATTCCGAGAAAGGCAGCTACTGCTTTCATTTTATTACATATTTACAAAATGGTGAAAACCTACTGCTATGAATATATTGTTTTTGTTTTCCTTGTTCAAATTCTGATTCCTGGTGACCCCATGTACGGAGAATTATCCTAAAGAGTTTTAATGCTGTGACCTTTCAGAAGGCTATCACCAGGTCTGTCTTCTGGGGCATCTTCTTGTGGGTTTAAAGCACCAGCCTCTTTTTAGCAATGAAATGCTTAACAATTTGTGCCACCAGAGTCCACCAATTGCTGTATATTAAGAAAGCCTAAATAATTCAAATCTACTAGGAAATAAGAATATTCTCAGAGTCTAAAGATTAAATCCCAATATATTACAAGAGAGCTCTCGTGGTTTTGTGGTAAGGAATTGCATTGCCAACTTAAAGTTACATGGTTCGAATCTACCAGCTACTCTGCAGGAGAAAGATGGGCAGTCTCCTCCTGTGTGACTTACTACCTCTGAAAACCCACTGGAGTGTCTGCTATGAGTCAATTTTGACTTGATGGTAAACAGTAACACCACATTACAATAAAACTGGCAAAAATGCTTTAAATGCAGGCTATGGTGGCTGTTAAGGGTTTTCAGATGCTATAAACTGCAAGGTGGATTTGAACCACATGCTATTGGTTTGTCAGCACGACTCCTTACCACTAAGCCACCAGATCTATCTTTTAAAGGTACTGAGATAGCATTTCCCAACTCACTTAATCATGCTGTAAAATCAGTATGAGAAGAGGGGAAATGCACAATCAGCCTCAGATCACCATTTAAGTCCAATTTACCTTCTTTTGGCAAGATGGCAGCCACTGGTGATTGGTCAATCAGAATGTAGAGGTCATTATCCAGATACCGGTCAAGTTCAATGATCCTTTCCTCAGAACACTGTGTCATCCCATGATCACTGGTGATGATGAGGTTCAGAGTGTTCCACAACTTTGCTTTTCTTAACATTTTTATGAGATATCCCAGCTTATTGTCAATATCTGTAATGACAGACTTCATGAGCGGGCTGTCAGGTCCCAAATGGTGGCCCATGTCATCCGGGTCCTCCCAATAGAGAAGACCAAGATTGATAGGCTCTTTTAATGTAAACCATTCAATAATTTTGGCCACTCTGTCTTCAAATGGAACAGATTCATTGTAGGGCAAGTAGTGAGTGGGAAAACTCTTGTGTATTTCCACATCTGTTCCAGGCCACATTGCTGCACCACTGGTGTGTCCTGCCCTTTGACTGGTGATCCATATCGGGGTTGCTTCTTCCCAAAACTCAGAATCATAAATACTCATATCATCCAAGGAGAAAGATTTATTCAGAACAGGATCAAACATGCTGTTCGAAACAATCCCATGACTCTCTGCAAAGAGGCCAGTTACCATCGTATAAAAGTTAGGGTAGGTCTTTGTAATAAAGATATTTGTAACTTGCTTCACATGAACACCAGCCTTCATGATGTAATGAAAATGGGGTGTTGGAAATCTATATAAGTAATCCCAACGGAATCCATCAAATGCCACTAGCAGGACCTTTTGCTGGTCTGGTTGGAGAGAAAATGTAGTTGTGAGTGTTAATGTGGCAAGAATGAAGACCGTCCAGAGAAGTTTTGGAGTCATTTTCAAAGCACTTGTTCCATTCAATGTAAAACACTCTGTAGAATAAAGACAGAAGTTAATGACACCAATTTTGCTGCTTATATTTCACCCTAAACTAAGAATACTGTTGCTCAGTTATCCCAGTTACATCATAAGGCACATCTTGGAAGAATTATGTTGCAGAACACTCTATCTCCATCTACAAACCTGTGGTTATCTGCATAAAAAAACTTTATTAAAAATTCAGCTGCATTATAAAACTTTTATCCAAAATGTATCAAAACATTCCTCTGAGAAATACTTTAGATAAGTTCCCCACTAGCATTTTAAAAGAAGTAATTAACTTACAACTTCTCAGAAACATTGTCAGGTTGCCTTGGACTTCTGATATAGTATGCTAATTGAAAGGTTAGGAGTTCAAGTCCACTAGCCACCTTGCAGGAGACAGATGGACAATCTCTTCTCCTGTGGATTCACAACCTTGGAAACCTGATAGGTGGCCACTTTGTGCTAGAATTAACTTGACAGCAGATAGGTAGCATTGATGGAGTATATACCATTAGCAAAGCCCAATAATGGTGCTTTTTTAAAAAACACATTTCCATTTTCAAAACCAAGTCCTTTATGTTTGATTCATTATAGATAAAGATGTTACAAGAGGAGAAAATAGATGAATTTGTTTCTTGAATGAAAATAAAATTTGCATCATTCAGATTCATTTGTGAAATGTACAGCCATTTGTTAATAATCAAAGCATTAAACCTCTTTAAACAATTAAGTTATGAACTAATTACAAACAGAAACATAATTCTGAAATTTAATGTTCACCTTCTTACAGTGAAGTTAGATTAAAATTTTATATATTCCCAAATGCTTGTATTCTAGCTATTAAAACTAAAACTCAACATGGATAAAAGGTATGTAAATATTTCAAATTATCACTGGACTTGAACTTTAAGCAAGGATCTTTTGTTCTCTATTTTTGTTGACCATTCTTGCATGAAGGTATTTAAAAGTCCACCAAAACTTGGATCTAATAACTCTTCCTGTTAAATAATATTTTAATTGAACTTTTGAAATGTAATTTGGAGATGTTGTTGGAGGCTGTTGAGTCTACTCCATTTCATAAAGTTGTTGTTGTGTTGATTGCCTTTGACTCAAGCTCAACCCAGAGCGACTTTAAGAGCAAAAGGCCTGAAGCCCTTTTGCAGCTATGGACATTTATCAAAGTTCTTAGTTTCCAGAGGCATGTTGTTTAGGAAGTGGATGCCACTCCTGCTTCCAATTCATAAAGACCCTTTGTAAAACAGAATAAAACCGTATCCAATTCTGCACCATCCTTACACTCTGCTATTCTTAAACCCTGTTTTAAGTCATTAAATGCCAGTCCACCCCATTGAAGGTCTTCCTCTCCTTTGCCAACCCTCTGATTTTCCAGTCATCATGAGCCTATTAAAAATACTTTTAAACTTCAAAAATAGACACTCTGTTGCACTAGTATATCTTAAGTAAAGGAAATAAAGATTGCTTGCTGACTTGCTCTGCTTTCAGAAGCACCAATTGTATATGAACTCTATGTTAACTAAGAGGAGTAATTTTGTTTTGTTTTTAAACTGTGGCTTCACCATACCCAGGGCTTTACTTAAACTGAAACTGATTTAAGTATTAGTTTGAGACAAAGGCTTATAAGTGAAATAAAAAAACCACACTTCTGAAATGGTAACTTTTTCCAATTTTGGAAGAAACATTATCAATCACTTCCAATAGAAATAGAAAAAAGTGCAACAATGAATGAATGGAAATCCAAAATCTCTGTAAATGTTCATTAAAATGAATTAAAAAAAGTTTACTACTCTCTCTTCTTCCAATTTTCTCTCTATTGTTTCTAATACAGTGAAAGCTAATAGCAATCCAAATTTAAGTTAAGATTAAGAACAAGCCAATTACACAGAACACTTTCTCTACTCCTGTTTAAGTAAATTAGTTCTTTTAGGTAAGCAGACTAGGACAGCATTTGGGACAAAAGAAAGTTAAACTTAGATGTGGTTTAAAGCTTATGAAGGCTGGGTAAGGACACCATCACATTGAGAGCAGAAAGCAATGAACAGGATAGATGGAGGTAACTTCTCTTTGACCAGAAACTGCAGATAGCAATGGAGTTCCTAGATCTGTGTGCAGGCTTCACCTGACTGCCTTCCACTTTCTCCTCCTCAAGTTCCTTCCCTATAGATGGCCTTAGGAATCTGTAAGGACCTGGCACCTAGGAAGAGGAAGAAATGGACAAGTAAAGTTCAGGGTGGCGAGAATACACGCGAGGGGTTGGGTAGGGTGCACCATTCCATCTTCTCCAGCAGGATTCGATCCCAGACACCAAACAGGGTCACTGCATAGGGAAGTGCGTTCTGAAGCCTCAAATTTCGCGACCACTGAGGCCCACAAACAGGGCTCCATGCGTATCTGGGGGCTCAGTGAGCCCCTGGGGGGTGGTCCCCGGAAAGCAAGACGCCAACCCCTGCTGGACTCTTACCCACGCAGCTTTCAGATCAGTCTGCATCTGCTTCGGGCACCCGAAGGGGAGGATAGAAGCAGCAAGGAGCGTCCTACGAAAGAAGAACCGATGCTCACCTGCCCGCACCCCGGGCGCAGAGCACCTGACCCTCACCACCTCCTCGCCGCAGGCCCCGCCCCGCGCCTCCCATTGGTTAGGGCAAGATTGCCACTTGTGCCAGAGTTGCTAAGCGAAAGCCAGGTTCTCGAGTAGCTGGCTCGCCTGTCAATCAGCAAGAGCAGGGCGGGCACTGCTGGGTTTGCGGATGGAGGGCGGGATTTAGCTGTAGGGAAGGACCCTCTAGGGCCTAGTTATGAGGTCAGAGGATTGTGAAGTCCAGCTCGCCTGTCATTGCCCGCATTGCGAGTCTGTCCAGACTGACCACAGGGCCCATCTGCAGTGGTACTTTTTCCTACAATGGCAGTTGTTCTGTTGCCAGTGGTGCTGACCGATTCTAATACACTACCCCAAGTCATGTATGCACTCTGGTATTTTTAAAAGCTACTTTTCTCTTTGTATCTGATCTCTCAGGTGAAGTTTCTTCCTTATCTCTTCTTGTCAACCGGATAGGAGAGCTTGAACATGAGTTTCATTGTGCAGGACACCTGAAAACCCAAGGATGGCCTGGCGATGATGAACTTTTCTCAAGTAAATGTCCTTATTAGTTGATGTTATCTGCTCTACTATAAATCTAAAGAACTTGGGTGGCCTAATGGGGAAAAGCTGTGCTGCAATCACAAAGGCTCGTGGTTTGAATCCACCAGCGGCTCCTTGGAAGAATGATGGGTAACCTGCACCTGAGGTGAGAGTAGCTGCCTCTGAAAACCCTCTGGAGGTCCAGCTATGGGTCAGCACAAAACAACAACAACAACGACAACAACAACAACAACAACAACAACAACGTGAACCTAGCCAGCTCTCAGCCCCAAGATCTGCTCGGGATTTTAGGAAGGGCTTTGAAGTACCTGTGTGGTACCTGAGAATCCACCAATGAGATCAAACCTGGCTCAGGATTAGCCTCATCGTCATCCAGAGAGAAAGGTTAGTGAGCAAAAACATTCAGTCTCAGATTCCTACACCCTCAATGTTTTCAAGTAAGCCTTGCAGCTAGAACTCCAGGCCTGATTTCCCTTTCTGGGAGTTTTCAAAATTGCTAATGGTGTTCTTGTGGCTTTACTTTTTTGTTGTTGTTAGGTGCCTTCGAGTATGAGTCATAGCGACCTTATGAACCACAGATCTGAACCCTGTTCTATCCTATGACATCTTCACACTTCCTAACACACAAGAGCCCATTACGGCGGTCACGGTGTGAAGCCACCTGTTGAGGGTCTTCCTCTCCTTTGCTGACCCTCCACCCTTCGCAGCATCATTTCCCTCTCCAAGGAATAGCCCCTCCTAGCAACACGTCCAAAGTATGTGAGGTGAAGCCTCCTTCTTACCTCCAAAGAGGACTCTCGTTGTACCCTCTCCGAGATGTGTTTGCTTGTTCTTTTGGCTGTCCATGGGATGGTCAGCGCTCTTCTCCAACACAACAGCTCAAAGGTATCAATTCTTCTCTGTCATCCCTATTCATTGTCCAGCTCTCAGATGCATAGCAAGTGATTGGCCTGAATCAGACACACCTTAGTCCTCAGACTGACATCATTACTCATCAGTAATTTGGAGAGGTCCTTAACTACATATTTTCCCAATGCAATGTGTCTCCTTATTTCCTGACTGCTGGTACTAACAGTGTTAATTGTGGACCCAAGTAAGATGAAGTTGTAGGCCATTTCAATCTCCTCACCACCATGATGTGCATCACCATGACGGTCCAGCAGTAAGAATCTTTGTTTTCTTAATATTGGGACACAATCCAAACTGAAAGTTGCATTCTGTAGAGGACCATGGAATGTAAAGGACTGCATCCTTAGAATATGGCTGTGTGCCTTGCACACAGAAGGTGTCTTCAGAAAGAAGATTGCAAGCAGAGCTCACAAGGCGCTCTGAGAAGGAAGATTGCAAGCGGTTCTCATACATCTTTAGACACTGACTTTCATTATCATTCTTGCTCTTGATAAGGTTGTTGCAAGATGAGAGAAAGCACAATTTATGAATACAAAGAAGTCTTGGTTGAATGTATCTATGTACCCAGCCCATCCGAGCCCTATATTAATCTTGATGTTTCTGCTTGTACCGAGCCTGCCTGGGCTCTATGATATAACCCTTAAAGGTTCTATTTTTCTGTTAACCATCTCTTTGTTTCCAAAAGGTATAAATAAAGATAGCACAGCTGCCTGGGGCTGGTCCAATTCCATCCTGTCTGGCCGGTCCAGTCCTGTCCTGTGCTGTTTTGTGTCTGTAAGTTGTTTGTCTCTTGTGTCTTTATTTACTCATTTCTTCCAACCATCATTTCCCCAGAGAAGTAGGATAAGGTGTCCCCAACACATTCCTTGATCTTCTGTAACAAGTACTTCAAGTCCTCCTCAATTTCAGCAAGTAAGGTTGTGTCATTTGCATAAT